TGATTCATTTTTCTTTCTGATTCCGAATGATCAAACCTTCTTGCTCTGTAATACGTATTCCCAATTAAATTACTGATTCTGTTTTCATTTTCCCAGTCAATGGATTATATGTACAATTAAGTACTTATATAGCAAGCTTCTATCTTGAAAAAACCAGTACTTTAACTCGTGAACTTTTACCTACTTTTCAGTTTAATCCTGCAATTTCTTAAGCATATAAGCTTGAATATTTAATGAAAGAATAAAAATATTCATGTAAGGCACATGCTTTTCAGTTTTCACTCTCTACTAAAGCTTTGCGCATGCTGGCACTCTATTATGATGTAGAGAACCATGTATAACTGCCAATTGATAGATGTTGTTGTGGCCACCAATGGAATGGTTAATGCTACTAAAATTATGTAAAAAAAAAAAATTAATTTAATTACTTATGATTTAAGATCAATACACAGATAGGATATAGACTTGATATTTTAAACCATCTAAATATAGACTTGATATTTTAAGTATGCACATAATATATTTGTAATTTTAGATATATGTAAATAAACCCATAAGATATTGAAATGTACACTTAATACTAGATATCCAAATGTGCACTTAATTATCATGTTATCCCCGTTCCACATTTTTTCACATTTAAGTGTTCAAAAAGAAAATGTTACCATTTGTTATGTTAATTACTAATAAAAGTTTAACTAACAAATTGGTTTGGAAGAAATTTGGATTTCTTTTAAGTAAAGTTTTGAATTTAATTTTTGTAATTAAAAAAATAGATATTAAAAAAACTTTTCTTTATCATATCAAAGGTAACTTAATATGACTTTTGAATAAATGATTTAGTATAAAAAAAACTACTAATTTTTTTAATTTTAATTGCATACTAAAAAAGTATTTTTATCTTGATTATATAATAAAAGATAATTGTTTTATCCCTTCTTTCATTTTATTTGCATATCATATAATTCAAATTTAAAATATTTTACTTTCAATAAAAAAAAGTTATAACTGAATTTTTTAATTTTTTAGTTTAAAAAACTACTAATAAAATTTCATAATCTTGAAAAAAAAAAAGAGAAGGCATTAATGATCATCAACTCAAAAACAAACATTAATCAACATAAATTAAACCTTAACCAATTAAAAAAGAAGAAGAAGAAGAAGAAGAAGAAGAAGAAGAAGAAGAAGAAGAAGAAGAGAAAGGTAATTAAAATTGACATTTATATTCTTAGAATATTCCGATCTAATGTGGGGAGGAGGTGTCTTTCTTA